AAATGGATTGTCGTATTGGTCTGCATTGTCGAGGGTCGAGAAAAAGGAGTCTAAGTATGTATTGTCGATGGTCGAGAAAAAGGAGTCTTAGTATGCATTGTCGAGGGTCAGGTAAAGGGAGTCTAGGTATATATTGTCGAGGGTCGGGGAAAGAGAGTCAAGGTATGCATTGTCTAGAAAATTCAATCTACATGATTTTTGAGGTTTTTGGTAAGTGTTTCTCGTTTCTCGTGTTTTATATATATTAGACCGTTGGTTTTCCTGATTGAATTGTTTTACATGTCTAGTCATTTTGGAGCCCTTTATATCTTGCTGTTTGGTGTGAGCCAAGGCTTCGTGTTGAAGGTCGTACTTTGACCGTTTAATTGTTTACTTTTACACATTGTGACTTGGACAGAAAGTTGTCTCATTGACTCTCACTCATACCACATCTTCTTATTTCTAATTAGTAGGTATCGTCGGATTGACAACAGGGAGACAGTATGAATTGTTGAGGGTTGGAGAATGAGAGACTTAGTATGGATTGTTGAGGGTTGGAGAATGAGAGATTTAGTATGGATTGTTGAGGGTTGGAGAATGAGAGATTTAGTATGAATTGTTGATGGTTGGAGAATGAGAGACTTAGAATGAATTGTTGAGGGTTGGAGAATGAGAGACTTAGTATGAATTGTTGAGGTTGGGGGAATGTGAGAACGAAAAGCATGGTTGAGGTTGGGGGAAAGTGAGTCTTAATATGCATTGTTTAGGTTGGGGGAAAGGGAGTCTTAGTATGCATTGTTGAGGTTGGGGGAAAGGGAGTCTTAGTATGCATTGCTAAGGTTGGGGGAAAAGGAGTCTTAGTATGCATTGTTAAGATTGGGGGAAAGGGAGTCTTAGTATGCATTTTTAAGGTTGGGGGAAAGGGAGTCTTTGTATGCATTGTTAAGGTTGGGGGAAAGTGAGTCTAATTAATAAGCGTTGTTAAGGTTGGGAGAAAGAGAGTCTTAGTATGCATGGTTGAGGTTTGGGGAAAATGTTTCTAAGTAAGCATTGTTCAGATTGGAGGAAAGGGGGTCTTAGTACATGTAGTATGCATTATTGAGTTAAGGAAAGTGGGTCTACGTATGAATTGTCATTGAAGAGACAACGGCAGTTTTAAGACATATTATCGGGAATTAAGTGCAACAATTTTACTATCATGAATTGCCTTTTTTTTTTATTAAGGGTAGCTTCACAAATCAAAAAAAAAAAAACCACCAAACTATAAACATTTGGTGCACTTCAATGTTTCTGTTGTTTCGTTGTTCCGTTGTTTTTCTGATGTTGATATCCATATAGTTGATGTGTTTCCATCAGTTTTAGTTTGTAACTCTGATTTGTTTTTTCTCTCAATCGATTTATGACTTTTGAATGCACTCAGCACTACAAACATTTGGGTTTCAAGAATCGATTTTGAAATGGATTAAAACTATAATACTACTGTTGCCTTTATTCCAGTATATTCTAAAATTTCCGTACCGATCCATTCTTTCCAAATAATGACGAAATGTTTTCTATAATATGGGGTATACCTATTATATCATTTACTTCAGCTTATAATTAAAAATACTAAAGAAAAAAGAGGCGAAGGATACCAAAGGGAAAATTCAAAGTCACAATTAAAAAATAAACTGCCAACGCCATAGCTAAGTAGCGAAAACAAAAAATACATTTTTGAAGAAAGTGTTCTACGTAATGAAAAATACTTCATATTGACCGACAAACTACAGCTCATTTAAGTCAATTAAAAATGGAAATAAGCATTCTCAGTTAACAAATGGGAGTAACTCGTTATATAGTCAATTGGGCGTTTTGAAATAAACGATTTGTCTGAAACTAAAAGGGTAACATACTATTTCAAAGTGTACAGATAATCGGAGTAGAATAGCCATGGAGAGTGGTCTCATTGGCACTCATACCACAACTTCTAATTTATATAACGTTGATAAAAGATTAACCACAAATCAGTTTATAGGTGGGATCTGTTACATGATACGTTCGTTCTACCAATAACGAAAGGTTTAATTGATCAATGACAGTGTTAATATAACGGGGATTTATTTCTCGTTACATTTTTATTACACAATAATTTTTCGTTCTAGGTTTAATGGTATGTGAATTGTTCGTGCAATTGAGTGTTTTTTATATCTTTCTATAGCTTATGAGGTAGACGAGTGCTGATTTGAAATGTTTTATAGGTATTTGATTGCAGAAACATAAAAGGTCTATTTTGACATTTTTAACTAGCTAATACTGTTTTGTGTAATTATTTACGAGGTAATAAGCTAATAAATTTAAACGATAAAGAAATATATCTAAAACGATACCTTGCTAAAATAATTAATTCTGTTTTACGCTTCTAAAAACTCTAACGAGTATAGAAATGACGCTCCTACCTGATACTAATCCCATTTAAAAAATGAGGTATGCAGTGTCAATGACACAGAAAAAGGAATCTAAGTAGGAATTGTCAAAATTAAGGGAAAAGGAGTATGTATTGTTGAGGAGTAAAGGTAAGAGAGTCTGTGAAAGTTTCGGGAAAAGGAGTCTAATAGACATAAGAAGATGTGGTATGAGTGCCAATAATTATAGGTCAAAGTACGGCCTTCAACACGGAGCATGCATTGCCGAGGATGCTAGAAAGAGAGTATGTGAAGCTTGATGGAAATGACACAACAAAAATAAGTTGAAAAGGGCTTAAATCATCGGATCGATACGAAGCAGAAAAAAAACGAAAACAGTGACAGGTTGTGGAGGGCTGGTCTGTATATGCATGGAGGGCTAGAAGTGTCACTTGATAACCAAAAACAATACAGTAAAGGGCCAGGGTATTACTTTTATGATTACGGATGCTAAAACAATTAAAATGAAGTTAATAACAATCATATCAATATTAAAAGCATTTAAAAACCAATTGTTCGATCTCTGAGAACAGATGAAGGTGTTATCCAACACAAATGAATTTGTATTTGATTTAAAATGTTTGACTTTTGGTTTTAAAAGTTTTTTTCCGGTTTCAAATGATAACTTACTATCAATGAATATCTTATTCTTTATACGTTTGCTTGATTTAAAGAAGGTAAGTTGCTATTTGCAGTTTGAAAAAAAAAAGTGTTTTGACACTTTTTCCAAATACATGGTTTTTTTATTCATAAGACATTTCGTCACAAAAGTTAGCTTATCCGCATTACAAAATGTCAATTCCCGTTGTTTTTTAAGGTCATATGTCTGCAATCTAATAAAAAAAATCCATTGAAGTCATTATATATCAAAACGAGATGACAGATAAGGTCAAATTCGAGATCGTAAAATTTAATCTTAACCTTGATCCTTATTTGAAGTTCATAAAACAAATATAGGTCACGATCAAGGTTAAAGACGATTGCTTCTCGTTAGAAACCATATAAGACATCAACAAAATATTTTAGCTAAATCGTTACTTTGGACATGCCGTACCAAATATGTAAAAAACAACACTACATTTTAGTTTAAAAGGGCACGTTGACATCTAACTGGATATTTCCCCTTTTATATTTAGAATTACCTGTAACGGAGTTTGGGATATGGTGATATAACTCATTCACCATATATATAACTATACAGTTTAACTATTTTGTCGATATCTTTTATGGTTTCTATTGAGAATAAATACTAAACAAATAGCCATAGGTAAAACCCTAACCTTGACACTGATATGTAGTTTTCGTATCGAATCAGTCAAAATTGAATAAAAAATCTTGAAGCAATTTGAAAAAGTAAAGTTTACAAAGACAAGTTTTAGATCTAACTGAATGCGATGCTAAATTTCAATAACTGTTTGATATCATGTAGCTAATTTGGGTACCCAACTAAGTACAGAGTAGGCTATTATCTGAATCTGTACTAAAATCTTAATCGTAAAGTACAATGACACATTAAACATTCAAACCCATTCACTGCAAATAATAGGTGATTGTGGTCGATATCATGTGCACGACTGAGCTACTTTCACCCAAATTGATCCAGCAGAGTTTTAAGGAAGAACGGGTGATATAGACATGTTTTCGCAGACTTTTTTCTTTAATCTCATCTATAAATTTACCTACTAAAATGTCGTTTCTCCTATTGTGGCATTTTGACTGAGTTTAAATTTGCATGACGGAGGATAAAAGCATCATTTCCACTGACTGTTAAATACGTCATAACACCTAATCAATTGAATGTTGGACGTGTACTGTTTGATATTTTAGTGTTAGATGGATATTTTAGTCTATCAATTGTTATAAGTTTTGAACTAGATTTCGGTTACTGTGGGTAATCTTAAAGTAGTTTTTGATCTTTATGTCGATCGGGTGAGTTAAGCTTTTTCAATTGAATTTTATTGTTGCATGGTTAAAATTTTCACATGCGTTATGTGCCTATCCTAAGAAGAGAGCCTGTGATTCAGTGGTTGTAGCTCGTTGATGGTTATCATGTTTGTTTGTTTTTGTTGTTGTTGTTTTGTACATCAGACCGTTGGGTTCTAATTATTGAACGTTAGTCTTTTCTGTGTCTTCTATAGCATGCTATGTGATATTGGTTTAGCTAATTGTTGAATGCCGTGCTGCGACATGTAGTTGCAAGATACTTTCTACGTCATTTGAACAGTTTTGTGTTTCATTGTGAATCATACCACATCTTCTTTTAGGTAGAAAGCGGGGGACGCGTACTCTGTCGACACACCTTGTCTTGTTCATTTTGGAGTTCATATGATTCCCTCATTTTTGTTTTTTACTTTGATTTATCTATTCTTAATCGATTAACACGATCTGTACAACGGTAAACTACTGTCATCTTAATCTATATTTAGACTTATTTAATATGAACTAATTTTGTACTTCAGGGCATCAATGTATTCGTCTTAGTAATAGTTTCAGTAAACAAGTAAAGAAATGGTGTTTAAGGAAAAACGAAGAGATTATCTAGAACTGACAAAAACTCTCAAAATACTGTAAATTCAGAAACTATTGCAAGGTTTTTATTTATGCGAATATGAAAGACTCTATCTAAAAATCAGAAGAATTGATGAAATCATTTTCTTGTACAGATTATCATAATTTTTAATTCATATCGTCGACTGATAAAATATTTTAATATTCATGTTAACGTGCATTTTCTGTAATGTTAACAATTTGATGTTCTTTATATTTCTGGTTATTTATTAGGGCTACAACCATCACAACAGCACTCCTTTCGTTGGACATTGCAGTCATATTTACTGCCACAATTACGTGCACGACATCCAGATTTGCAATGAGCACGGGTACTACAGTAACTTCTAAAGCATTTAAGAGCATCAGTGTCCTCCAAACCTAAAACATATTGTAATTCTTGATTTAAACATCAGAAGAATCAGATTACGATTTTCATTGAAAAGACATTTTACTATAACTGTTTGATAGTAGATCGGATGATATCATATCAACAGAATGTGACATTATCAGATAGTGTAGTGGTTTTAATTTGTAACGTTCATTTGCTGTTTAATTGATATATACATTGCATTCCCTGTATTTCCTGTATTTATAAGCATGAATCCAGAACAGATGATATTTATTAGTTTCGTTAACCATGTTTTATTTAAAAAGTTCGGTTGACGGCTTCAATTTTTGATAAAACTAGTATTAATGTACAAAAGGTTTAGCTAGCTATAAAACCAGATTAAATCCAATATTTTTTTCATAAGAAAATGACTGTAATAACTCAGGAATATTACAATTGTTATCAATTCGTTTGGTGTGTTTAAGCTTTTAATTTTAATTTGCCCTTTGACTACGTACTTTCCGTTTGGATCTCCTCGGAGTTCAATGTTTTTTTATTTAACTTTTTTATAATAAAATTTACGAAAAACTTTACAAGTTTCGTTTAATTATCTCCTGCTACAGTTTGAAACTCAGATCTATGATCATGACACTGTACAGATAAATGGCACACATGTTAAAGTTGTACACCTTCTATTATGAAATTGTTTGAGTGTTAGTCCCCATATCTCATATCTAGGAAATAAGTGTAGTTCAGCAAAACATGACCCAGTTTTGTGGTAATAACTCTTCTAGCAGTTTCAATCAATTTCTTTCCATTAAAATCGAACAAATGGATTTCCAAGGTATATAATACGGGCCTATTATTAAGTAATTGTTTCAGAAATATTTTTCAAATAAGTCCGCATGTTTTATTGTATTTTCAAGGTATTTCGTAGTTGTCTTTTTATTTCTATACATTCAAAAAGTAAAATAGCCAAAAAAACCGAACTATAAGAAAAATTTAAAACGGAATGTCCTAAATCAAATGGCAAAACCTTTAGAAAATGGCAAGATCAAAAGCTTAAACACACCAAACGAATGAAAAACAACTGTCACATTCCTTGGTACAGGCATTTTCTCATGTAGAAAACGGTGGTTTAAACCTAGTTTTATAGCTTGCTAAACCTCTCATTTGTATGACAGTCACATAGAATTCCATTGTAGTGAAACAAATGTGTGTGCAAAACATACAATTGCAATATGAATAAATTGTCAAAATGAAGGTACGACAGTCAGCATTGATTTATAATTTTAATCACTATAAAACAAAAAAAAAATAAAAACTATTAAAAAAAAGGACATAAAGACATCCTATAGACAAAGAACATGAGCAAAAATGAAAGACAAGAATACAAAGCACAACAAAATAATGATTGGATGCATGAATACCGCGCAACGCCAAAAGTATAATACCACAAATGGACTTATTCCGCTGCAAATGTTTGCACCTGTCCTAAGTCAGGAATCTGATTACAGTAGTTGTCGTCTGTTTATGAAGTTCATACGTGTTTCTCGTTTCTCGTTTTTATATAGATTAGACCGTTGGTTTTTCCGTTTGAATGGTTTAACACTAGTAATTTTTTGGGGCCCTTTATAGCTTGCTGTTCGGTGTGAGCCAATGCTCCGTATTGAAGGCCGTACCTTGACCTATAATGGTTTACTTTTATAAATTGTAACTTGAATGGAGAGTTGTCTCATTGGCACTCATACCACATCTTCCTATATCTATTATCAGTCAAAGTTAAAAATGTATAAAAAAATAAACTTATCATTGATAACAATAACTCTTGTAAAAAAATTATGCTCCTTTAATACGAAAACCTCTGCGGAACCCTGTCATTTATGACTTTGATCCATGTTTAAGGATCATCTTACAGTGTGTTGGCTGATACAACACTGTTCTATGTAAGAGGCGGATTGGGCGCTCACACACATGTTTATACCACCTCATCATTTATAAACATGTACTAAACAGTCAGTACATTTTGAAGTAGTATGAACACTGTAATAAATTAACTTTTTATTAATAATATTAACATACCCGTCAAACATATCAACAGGACGCAAATAGCGAAGTAGGCTCTCATTGTGCAGTAGTCCTGGAAGAAAAATCCATGTATTCGCATTAATATAACATATCTGATATAAATCTTTCATTTCGTAAATTAATATAGACTCTTTTGTGCAGCAGAGTATTCAAGTGCGAAACAAAATCTGACTTTTAACAGTTTTTGGTTGTTTTTTTTTAGCTCAACGTTACACGCAATATTTACGCATACAACTGATACGGCATTTTTCACATATTTGGCACAACTTTATAACGTTACGGTTTTTAATATCTTCAGCTTCGTACGTACTTGATTTTGCCTTCTTTTTTTGGTTCGACGGTATGTATAAAATTTCAATTGGCAAATTATTTTTTCTCAAAACTAAAAAAAAAAAAATGGCCGTCGCGTTGAATCTATCTTGGAAAATCAGACCTTTCTTAAATGGTTTCAAAAATGATGGCAAAATGTAGGCAAATAGAACAATCTATTTGTTTATTTTCCGGACCATATGGGTATTTGGGCCATACGCGTATGGTAATGACCATATGCGTATACTCATATGGTCGGACCATATGAGTATATACTCGTTTGGTTATTTACGGGCCAGACCATATGAGTATTTGGACCAAATATGTATTTTTTTCAAATATCCATAGGAAACTTTTGAATATTACAAAACAAATTATATAAAAAAAACAATGATGAAAATGTATTAATTCTATAATTCAAAGTCTACATAACCATTAAATATTGATGCCACTGTTAGTTTTCATCACTAATTATATTCTTGCATGTTGCCATTCACTCGTAACCATACGTATACAATGGGTTTACTATAGTTTTGACTAGTTAGTAGAATTAACTGTGTGATACTGCTTATTTCTTTTTAGCTATATAATCTTGTTATTATTATAATATAATAAAATGACATTTGATAGCGTCTATAAATGATGAGACAACTGGAAGGATCCTACCTAATGAAGAGTTTTAAATTATTAAAAGTAAACGCGTTAATTACCCCTACCATACGCGTACGGTTGAACCATACGCGTATGGTCGGACCATATGAGTATATACCAATATGGTCAGGACCATATGAGTATATACCCATATGGTCAGGACCATACGCGTATGGTCCAAATACTCATATGGTCGGGAACATTTACACATTATTAATTAAAACAAACACTTTACATTATTTGTAACACAAACATAGTTTAATTTGTTTTTACCTCATTTTGAAGTTTGATTATTATCATCATAGGGAAATACACTTTTGAAATTGGCAATTTGCTAAAAAAAAACGAAAGTTCCTGACATTTTGATACAATAGAGAGCTTAAATAACACTTTAGTATTTAAATCAATACTATAAATTTATGAAATAGCTGATGTCATGAGATATCGTGATGGGGATTGGAGAAACCAAGAAAATCATGTCCAAATATATCCGATATACAAATTTGTTTTTTTTTTTAAATTAGATCGTTTAATCGTTATAAAACAGAAATATTTTGCCAGGTAATAGGAAGTTTCAGATTCAGAATGAAATGTATAGTTCAACAAAATCATGTTATCAAACGATGAAATGATAACATCAATGAGACAAGTTCTTTCACATGTTACATTGTTATGAGAAATGAATCCCAGTTGTATGGTATATCTTGTTTATCCGCAACAATAATCGCTAAAGCTTTTCTTTCGCAGAATAACACATATCAAGACCATATACCGCACCAATGAACATCACTTTGATCATTATTTTCTTTTCAGTCTTATTTTTCGCTACATTATTTAAAGGTAGCCAAAAACATTCTATTTTGTATACATTGACCAAATAAAAACGGTAAGTTTTATCACCTAACTGCAGGTGAAAAAATTCAAAGCAGCGTTCCAGTGATTGAAATTAAAGAATTTATTTAAAATCAACAATAAATCAAAATAATAAATCACAATAACTACAATTATCATAATAATAATGATAGCATTACTATGATCATCATCATTAACAACATTAACAACAACAATAATAATAATAATAATAATAATAATAATAATAATAAAGATAATAATAAAAAAAAAAATAATAATAATAATAATAATAATAATAATAATAATTATAATAAAGATAATAATAATAATAATAATAATAATAATAATAATAATAATAATAATAAAAAAAAATTATTAATAATAATAATAATAATAATAATAATAATAATAATAAAATATTAATATTATAATTATGATAATAAGCCCATCAACTTTTCCAAATCAGCAAATTTAACTTTTGAATATTGAATATATACAGATCCGGATTGATACAATAAGAGATTGATAAAGTTGAAGTCATTCCTTTAACACGTTTATAGACGTAATCTGGAACTTACCTGTATTATGACAAAAATGATATTGAAGCTAATTTTTTTTGATGACCTTTAAATAGTACTATATCATGAGGTGGAAATAAACCAGATTAAGCAATTATAAGTTTATCGTTGGGATCTGTTAAAAATATATGCTCGTTTTCCCATTACAAAACATTTAGTTGTTAAATAAAAGTACAAAATAACGCGGATTTATTTCGCTTTGCAGTTTTAATACACATCAATGTTGTCATTTTATGTTTTGTGTCATTAGAATTATTCGTGCAACGGATTTTTTTTATATCTTTCTGTAGTTTATGAGTTAGAAACTGGTTTTAAAAGGTAATAGGTATTTTATTGTTAAAACTAAGCAGGTTTTTATATTTTGTTTAATAGGTACTATTGTTCAGGGTGAACTTAGATATTAAAAAGTGAAATAAAAAAATACCGAACTCCATTGAAAATCTAATACAGTCCCTAATCAAATGGCAAAATCAAGAGCTCAAACACAAAAAAAAATGGACAACAACTGTAATATTTCTGACTTGGTACAGGTATTTTCTTTAGGTAGAAAATGGTGGATTAAATATGGTTTATAGTTAGCTTAACCTCTCACTTGTATGACAGTCGCATACAATTCCACTAAATTGACAACGACGTCTAAACAAAACAAACAGACATGGTAGGTACAAATGTCAAAAATAAGGGTACAACAGTCAACATTGTGTTATAATCTCAATAACTATAAAAACAAACAAATATGTCAACAAAGAAAGACAAAAAGGCATATTGTCAAAGTACATTAGCAAAAAGGAAAGACAAGAATACCAAAATTTACCATAGCACAATGACTGGATGTATTTTAAAGTAACGAGCCCCTTCAAATACATATTATCAAAAATATACTTAACTTAACAATGTATAAATATATAAAAAAAACATGCAAACGTGAATGAAATCTGCCTGAAAAGTAACTTTGCTAAAAGAGTACATTATGCGTTACGCTTTTACAAACTTTAACGAGTACATTATTGACAAAATAATTGAAGGTCCAAAAGTGCGAAATATTAAAAATCTAAAAGCATACTACCTTTTATTAGTCCCATTTAATACAAACAATGTTGACTTGTGTTCTATAGAAAAAAAAAAAAAAACAAGTATGACTTGTGTGCTATTTAACCAACAATTTTCCCTGCATTTTAAGCATTCAGTTTTGATGGGGGATGAAGAGAGTATGCATTTTCAAAAAGTTGGGAGAAAAAAGGGTATCAATATACATTATCGACGATGGGGAAAGGGAATATAAGTATGCATTGTGGGGCCTGGGGGAAAGGGGGTCTACAAATGCATTGGCAAGGTCGAACAGAAGGGTTCTAGTACGCATTAATAACATCAGGGGGAATGGAGGCTTAGTCTGCATTGTAAAAGCTGAAGGAAATTGATATTAATTAATATATATTGTCGAGGATGAGAAAAAGGGATTTTTTAGGATGCATTGGCAAGGATAAGGCAAATAGAGTCTTAATATGCATTGTATATGGTTATGGACATATACTTTGATACGCGTTGTCAAGGTTAAGGGAAAGGGAGTCCAACTATTCATTGACGAGGGTGAGCGAGAGAGAGAGTTTAATTTTGAATTGTCGAGGTTGAAGTTAAGGGAGTCTTAGTACGCATTGTTGAGGTGGTACGAAAGGGAGGCTAAGAATGTATTGTCGAAAATAAGGGATATGGAGTTTAAATATGAAATAATGAGGTGGTGTAAAAGCGAGGCTTAGTCTTCATTGTATAGTCTGAAGGAAAATTATATAATTAATATGCTTTGTCGAGGATTGGGGCAATTAATTCGTATTATGCATTGTCAAGGGAGAGTTAATGCATGCCTAATATGCATTGACAACAGGGGGAAAATATAGTCTTGTTAAGCATTCTCAAGGTTAAGAGAAAGGGAATAAAAGGAGACATTGTCAAGGATGAGGAAAATTGATTCTTAGTGTGCATTGTCAAGGTGAGGAGAAGGGCAGCTGAGTATGCACTGTCAAGTGGGGTAAAAAGGGCTCCTAAATATGAAAAATCAATGGTGAGAGGAATGGAGTTATAGTACACATGGTCCAGATTTGTTTGAAGAGAGTTAAGTTGGGAGAAACGTGAGCCTTAGATTGAATTATTGGGAGGAATGGAAGTCTACGTATACCTCTATACTACTAAAAGAATAGACCGATTTCATTGAGCCGCATCTCCTATGAAACCATACAAAGTCGGAAATATTTGTGATATGCCGTATAAATGTAGTGTTTTGTACTTGCTCAGTCGACGTACTGCCCGCGAAATTTCAAAACTGTTTGTTTCAACCTGAGACTATTATATGTGTTATAGTAGTCTCAGTTTCTACACTTGACCAATTGTACCTTGATTTCGCTGGCATTTTGTAGTTATTGTAATGGGGAAGACTAACTTTGTATGCATCATCGAGTATGCATTCTAGGTCTTACATCATGTCGATACATTTATACTTATAACTTGGCATTGTACAAGATCATGCTTTTTCTAGACTTCTTATGAGATATAAACACTCAATCCATTTGAGGTGCAGTAAGTTATATTAAACAAACAAAAAAAAAAAGAAAATGCTTATGAACTCTTTACTTTTATCGGTACAATTGTGTCATTTTTCTTTTTTCTTTTTGCTATTGGATTTTGTGCTCTTTATAAATCTGATCGGTCAAGCCCTTTCCAAGTATAAAAAAAAATGATTTAGTTTAAACATATTTATTTATATTGGATTGGGAAAAAAGTTATTACAACTTATATTAATCATTTTCCACTTTGCTGGTGCGAGTGATGCCTTGTAGCGGCACTAGCCTACTCTTTTGTGAAAGCTAAAAGGGTGTCTTTTATGTGCAAGAGATATGGCTATCTCTTAACACGGGTCAGCCATTAATCGTCCCCAACCGACGGACTATCATCGTTTCTCAAGACCATATTCTCAAATGGTGTCAAGGGAGAGCCGAAAATTCAGTCCCTGAAATTTTCTGCCCGGAGCGAGGATCGACCCAGGAACCTATGTGTTTCTAGTCCGATGCGCTAACCACGACATTACGGCTGTCCTTATAATGGGTTATAAAAATGATTGTTTTCTAAATGTTGGGTTCTGATGAAACCTTACAATGGTTGTAGAAAGGATTTTGGAAACTGCATGTATGTGAAGAACCTCAAACTTCGATGATATGTTTTTCAGACTCTGACTATCATTAGTCTAGTACACTTAATGCTGTCCGATTATCTTTCTCAACTGCTTTACTTTCATATAATTGTCAAAAGTAAAATCGCAGGCAAATGTACTTGCACTCTTTTAAAAAACTAACAACATTAATAACGATTGAACTGTAGTCAAATAACAAAAAAAGTAAAAAAAAGATACCAAACAGTGTTTACCAAGAAAGTGTTTTATCTGAATTAATATGGTCGATAGAAAGCAAGTTCCTTATTCAAATAAACCATTAAAATGCAATATCCATTCAATACAGTTACAGATAGGCCCGTAAGATAAAATAAATCAACTTTCAAGAACCGTATCAACACTGTGTTTTGTCTGTTTAGAGTGCTGAATGCAAAGCTTGGGATACCTCCTTACATACAAAAAGTCAACACAACTTATAGGATAACTCCGGTGATTGTAAAATATTGTCATAGATACCAGAACTATAATTGAGTAAATCAGACGCAAGCGGCTTGTCTTCACATGACTCGAATACAAAAAAATGTCAAGCATATTTTCATGATTCAGATATGTTCTAGCCAATTCGGGTACATAAGTGAGTACAGTGTCGGCTATTACCTAAATCTGTATTAAACCCTAAGTCGTAAAGTACAATAAAACATTAAACATTCAAACTCATTCACTGCAGATAATAGGTAATCTTGGTAGATTTCAGTTACACAAGGGAGCTCCTTTCACAAAAACTGCGCCAGCAGAGATATGAGGAAGAAAGACTGATATCGACATGTTTTGGCAGACTTATTTTTTTTATATACTAGTATATTCTTCTCATCTGTAAATTTACCAACAAAAATATTTTATTTCTTATTGTGACATTTTCACTGAGTTTAAATTCGCATTGCAAGTGTAAAATGCATCATTTTCACTGACTGTTAAGGATGTTTGCTCCTCTTGTTTTGAAATTTTGGTAAATATTCAGAATTCTCTTGTTTTATTCATGTAGTGCCATCAAAATTTTGCCCATTTACCCATACTCTACGTTTAATAAAATCATAAAACTAGTATTAAAAACCATATTTGTAATCTTATAAAATCCTTGTTATATTTCTTTTGAAAGAAAAAAGGGTGCCATTGTTAAACATGTTAAATGTATGAAAAATCGAGAGGGAATTATTTCCCGCCAAAATTTCAATGGCTTATATCTCGAAAACAAGCACACGGGCCATTCATTTTTTTCTGCTTTTTGAGTTCCTGTATTTATATACTATTAATTTATAACATACTTTTAAAAAGCTTGTTATTTTGAAACAGAGTAGTAAACATCCTTAAACACACTAAACCAATTCTATGTTGGACGTGTACTGATTGATATTTTTTTCTGAGATATATATTTTATTTTACTAGTTATTTTTAACTTTGAAATATTTGTTTGTAACTGTAAGTACTCTTTAATATTTTTGGTATTTATGTCGACTGGATGAATTTAGCTATTTTTCAATTGATTTTAAAAGTGCAATGGTTACAACTCAACATTCTGTATATGCCTGTCCTGAATAGAGAGCCTGTGATTTAGTGGTTGTAATTCGTTGATTTGTATCATATTTGTTGTGTTGTTGTTGTTGTTTTTAACATCAGGCAGTTTGAGTTTTAATAATTGAACGTTAGTCTCTTATGTGCCTTCTATAGCTTGCTAGGTGATGTTGGTTTAGCTAATTGTTGTATGCCGTGCTGTGACCTGTAGTTGCAAGATACTATCTACGTCATTTGGACAGTTTCGTGTTTCATTTTGAATCATACCACATCTTCTTTTTGGTAGAAAGCGGGAGACGCGTACTCTGTCGACGCACCCATTCTCGCTTATTTTGGAGTTCATACGGTTCCCGCATTTTTGTTTGTTACCTATGTTTATCTTTTCTTAATCGATTTACAAGATCTTTACAGCGGTAAATTACTGTCAACTTAATCTATATTTAGACTTATCCAGTATGACTTAATTTTATACTTCACGGCATCAATGTATTCGTCTTAGTAGTAGTTTCAGTAAAACGAGAAAAGAAATGGGGTTTAAGGAAAAACGAAGAGATTATCTAGAACTGACAAAACTCTCCCAATATTGCAATATAAAAATCAGTAGAATTTGTGAAATCGACTGATGCAATATTTTAATATTCATGTATACGCGCATTTTCTGTAATGTTAACAATTTGATGTTCTGTGTATTCCTGGTTATTAATTAGGGCTGCAAGCATCACAACAGCATTCCTTTTGTTGGACATTGCAGTCATATTTAATGCCACAATTACGGACACGACATCCATATTCGCAATCTGCACGGGTACGACAATAACTTCTAAAGCACTTAAGAGCATCAGTATTCTCCAAACCTGAAACATATGGTTACTTTTCATTTAAACATAGTTTAAAGAATCAGGATACGATTTTCATTACAAAGACTATTTTCAGTAACAGCTGACATACTGTTTGACTGGTAGAAATGATGAAATGTAACTTTTATAGAAATTGAAATTATAATGGTAAATTAGATGGTCATGGTACTATATCAACAAAATGTGACCTCATCCATATCGTATACTGTTGGTAATTGTAATGAGCAGTTACTATTTAATTGATAAATACATTTTATTTCCTGTATTTATACGCATGATTTCAGAATAGATGATACTAATTATTATATGTTTAATTTGAATAGTTCGGTTGACGGCTTTAATTTATTTCAAAATTTTTATGAATGTAAAATACGAACATTTGTTACACAATATGCGCTTTCCAGCTTGAGATCTCACCAAGAAATCTTGGCACAATACGCAACCGTTTTGTCAACTGAGCTGAAGGAGTATTCAGCTTATTATGGTTTAATTAATTATCTACAAGGTAAACTAATGCACAATCTTCACATGACACCTTTAGAAGGTATATATTATCAAATTGGTTTTGGTCAAACTTAATCTGATTGTTTAATAGAAGACGCATTATATTTTAACACCTTTATGACTGGTAAAAAATTTGCATAAAATACTTTTAGTCAAACTTAGTAGTGCAAATGTTTCGTTTGAGGAATTGATGAAATGATGTCTATATAGATTAATTGGCGATTAATCTTTTCTCTAAGAGGGGCGAAAGATACTAGAGGGACAGTCAAACTCATAGATCGAAAATAAACTGACAACGCCATGGCTAAAAGAGAAAAGACAAACAGACAAATAATAGTACGCAAGACACAACATAGAAATCTAAAGACTAAGCAACACGAACCCCACCAAAACCTGGGATGATCTCAGGTGCTCCGGAAGGGTAAGCAGATCATTATTCACATGTGGCACCCGTCGTGTTGCTCATGTTATTGCAAACCCGGTAAATTGTCTAATTCGGTAGGTCATATTCGTGAAAATGAAACAGGATTGTAGTAACAACATACGGAACGTCAAATACGTTTTAACACACTTTTCTTAAATTCTCCGTTGATGGTTTTGAAAGTAACGCAAATTTCCTCTGGCAAAGCTAACCTTAGTAAATATGGCTATTTCTAAGATCTCTGTTCAACACATAGAATTTCGCATGATTATGTATTTTACAACATCCTTGGCTTTCAAACGATTGACTTTGAGCGTTTCCAATGAAGGGAAATACAGAACAAAACGCTACAGACGCATGCAAGTAATAACTTGTTATTTTACTATATAGTGAACCGTATTTTAATTTAGATACCTGACACTTTACAGAAAGAGTGCACAAATGCTGACATTACGCACCTACTATTATTTAACTGATTGAGAAGTTAACCTCTATTTTTACAAATTTGGAATAACACAATTTACAAAAGGCATTACAAGGTTTGTATATTCATCTCCAGCTACAGTTTTCAGATCTATGATACTGTACAGATAAATTGCACACATTAACGTTATGCACCTGTTATTATGAAATTGTTTGAGGATTTCTAGCCCGATGTTTCATATTTAGGAACATTTCGGAAAAACTAACAAAACATGATCCAACTTTTGTGTTATTAGCTCCTAAAGCATTTTTCAACTAATATCCGTTAAAATATAAAAAATAGATTGCACATGTAAAGAAATTACGGACCTATAACTAAGGAATAGTTAGTGAATTTTTTTCTCCTTTCAGACCTTGCCACTTATTAATGTTTTAGGTAATTTTACATGTTTGGGGCAATGCTACATTGTAATGAAACATTCTGCACAACCTTGCCATTTAAGTCTTTGGTCCTTTATTAGGAATGTTCTTACGTTGTGCTGATACACAACTGTTCTATGTTAGGGGCGTGGTCGGTTTGTCCCACCACATTTTGTATACACCTGTACTAAACCAGCAGTTCGTAATTAAGATATTCATGTTATTGTCGTTGATCGCAGTCTGCCATATTTGTTTTTCGCTGCATAATGTTAACTTGAATCCAAATGGTAGTTGTCCCTTTTGAATTAATTTCTGTGTTATATAGGCCTTTCAAACCTGACTTTGTACCACTAGAAGTTGAAATCCTCGTTCCTTATATGGATGAAAATTGTTTCATTGGCAACCATACCACATCTCCTATTTTTCTAGATATATTATTTGAAATATTCTTAATTTTACCTCAATGTAGAGTCACTTGAGGCACGTTTAAACCTTCGGACGTAATATAAACACTTCAATAAATAAACATTAATTGTTTTGATATTTCCTTTTGAAAATGATATAAACTTACCCGACAAACATATCAATAAGATGCAAAAACCGAGGTAGGCTTTCATCGTTCAGAAGTCCTTGAAGAAAAAATTCAAAATACACATTACTAACGCATAAAACCGACATTGACTGACATTTACGACATCTTTGGCACCACATTTCGGAATTTTCTGTTTTTAACATTATGGGCAATTTGTCATGATTTTGCCTTCCATTTGTTTTGATTCTACGCTACTGATGAGTCTTAAGTAGATGAGACGCACGGCTGGCACACTATATTATAAGTTTGATTTTATTGAAAAAATTATATGATAAAAATAAAAAAAACAGAAAAATAATATTAACATTCATCATGTAATTTCGTGTTAAAAATTTCTGTACTTAGATGATAAAAACTTACCTGTCTTATTTGAACAATGTATAATATAACTAAACGTATTACGTCTACCTTTAAATAGTGTAGCATAAAATAAGACGGACAAGGACATAATAATGAAAGTTATGTTCATTGGTCGGACATTTGGTCCAGGATATGTTTTTTCCGTGAATTATTATTTTTAGCGGAAACATAAGGTATAAACACTTCACTGATTTGTTCCTCTGAATACTTGTCATATTAATTTTTATCATTTTATAATTTGATCACTTGATTTGTTTGGACTATTTATATTATTTTGTATCTGTAACTTTATTTCACGTAGCACAAGAATCCTATTTTATAATTTTACATGGTTTAAACTCTTTAAGAAAATGGCGATTCAAACGTTACCGAATCCAATTAGAAAATTAATAAGATGTGCATGCTATTATGTAGGGAAAATATACATCTCCAAATTTCTTCTTACAATATTCCAAAAAGTGTATTTTCCTATCATGATTTCCATGGTATAAGACTGCTGCTCACAAGAAAAATATCGCACCAGGGGCTCTAAATGGTAAAGTTAAAGTCATTCCTTCATCAATTTTACGGATGCAACCAGGATTTAGTTGACCGTGTTTTGAATATTTGAGTCGGTGATGACGACGGATATCTACAATCCTCGTTTTCTCAATTATGACATCACCTCATTTATACTTGCCATGACAGCAACAATGGGTGCCACATGTTGGGAAGGATCTGCACATCGTTTCAGATATCTTGAGAGATATCACTACAATGTTAGGGTGCAGTTCGTGTTAGTCAGTCTTTAGTTGTTAATGTATCGTTATTCGTCAACTTATCAAACTAGATTGATTACTTTTTATCAATACGCCATAAGTTAAATTGAAGTTTTTCATTGTACTTTAAGAACGAATTATATAGTGATTTAGGAGGAGGTGGTCAGGTGCCAGATAAAGATATATGAAAAGTTGGAAAGAACATTTCCCCGTTTCAATTCTCTATTCTATTGAAATTGAGGAAACAATTGAAACTTTATGACCTGCTTTATAATGTATTTTTGCCATTTAGAACTTTCTTGATTCGATCATCCCTAATGAGGCTTTTGAAGACGAAATGTACACCTGACGTACGAAATGCGGATACTGGTATCTATGATTAGTTTATTTGTGTTTTCATCTTTACATCAATATTGACATAGATAGACAACTTCAAATCAGAATGCTTGACAATAGTGATTATTTTGTCACCTGATTGACAATGTCAAATGTTGAATTTTTTGACATTTTTGCTGTGGTTTCCATGGCAACATAGCAGTTCCGATGATTGTGAAAATCATAAAAAACCTGAATATAGTGGAAATCTACCTTGTATAAAAATTTAATGATTTTAAGTTCAGGCATATTCAAATAATTCATTAAACCCCAAAATTTTATTGTTTTACAATTTTTCAATTCCCTTTTATTATTCTTATTATGTCATCCGATCGACAATGTCGTGTCATATTGCTTTTCCTCTGTTTCTTTTTAGCTATTATTATGTCACCCGATCTCAACTAATACCTCATACATTAAGTATGTTCACACTATATAGAATTTGTTTGCAGGCTTGTGCTTCTTACAAATATCTGCACAACAGAGTAATTCTAGTGTTAAGAGCCCTCAAATTGACAGTTTATAAGTTTTGGTCTGTGTCATACCAGAAAATACGTTAAATCTGTTATTTTACCGATTGTAATCTTTTCTTAAGTGTGACATTTTGTATAAATGTGGGTTCGCATGAATTGTGAAACACATGCTTAACCTAAAACAATATATAAATTGATAACGATTTTTTTTATGAAACACCAAAATTTTTTTTTAATAAAAAAAACCCAGGATAATAGGTTCTAAAAAAAAGAAGAATTGTAGAGAGTGAGGGAAAAGGAGTATAAGTATGTATTGTCGGATTGAAGACACAGAGACTAAGTATGATTTGAAGAGGGTTAAAGAAAGGGATTCTTAGTATGCATTGTCGAGGGTGGGGGAAAGGGAGTCTAGGTATGCATTGTCAAGGGAGAGGCAAGTGCAATCTTAGGACATATTATCGCGAATTGATGAAATGGAGTCTTAGTATGTATTGTCGAGGTTTGGGGAAAGAGAGTTGTGGCTGTACAGGTTGGAAATGAAAAAAGATATTGTAAGTGGAAAAAAGGGAAGAAAAACAGATCAAATAACTTTGTCCATAATTCAAAACGTTCTTGTTTGTTTAAAAGAAACTTCTGACAAGATAGATGATTTCAGCTTCCCAATTGGGAACTTCCCACGTCTATGTAGCAACATTCCAGCAGCCCTTGCATACGGAGTCTTTATCTCCAAGTTGATACGATATTCAAGGACTTGTATTTCCTATCATGATTTCCTTGGAAGAGGGTTGCTGCTTACAAGGAAGCTACTAAACCAAGAGTTCCAATTTGTGAAGTTGAAATTTTCCCTTCTTCAATTTTACGGACGCCATCAGGAGTTAGTTGACCGTAATGAAATATCCGTTTCACAGATGACAACGGATATATTCCAAGTGTCGTAGCTACAATCCCGATCCCTTTTCTCCAAATGTGTCCTACCGAATAAGACTTATCACTAGGTTTTTACTAACATGAACAAAACGACGGGTTTCACATTTGGAGCAGGATATGACTACCCTTCCGGAGCACCTGAGATCACCCCCAGTTTTTTGGTGGGGTTCGTGTTGCTCAATGTTTGGTTTTTTATGTTGTGTTTTGTGTACGGTTGTTTGTTTGTCTTTTTATTTTTAGCCATGGCGTTGACAGTTTGAATGTCTCTTTGGTTTCCCTCGCCTCTTTTTTCTAAATTATTTGCTGACTTTACACTGATATAAATGATATAGTAGGTATACTCCATATTATAGAAAACTCATCACTTTTTCGTCAATATTTGAAAAGAATGGATCGGTACGGAAATTCTTGATTAATGTTGATATTTTGATGTTAAGATGTAGTGAAGCTACATTAATAAAAAATAAAATCATGATAGTAAAATTGTTATCTCCTGATAGTTAAGTTTAACTTTGTTCCATTCCTTTGAAGTGTTAAGCTAGTTTTGCTATGCGTGTTGGTTCTCTCCAATTAATGTATCTGCACCTCAAAGATTGTATTTGGTATCGGCTATATGCATTTGTTTTCCCAAGGCATCGCCAACGAAACGTTTATTGTTGTAATGGGCGTCTTTATCAGTACCATCGACACCATTTTTGTATTTATTTTAAGAAGATAAAAAAAACCCCGAGAATCCAATTAAAATTTAATTGTCATTTGATTAACTAGAGAGAAAAAAAAAACGTCCATTGAGTACTTTTGGTCTATTCACAATGAACCAACTAGCAAAGATAAGATAAAGAAGACAAGGTCTACGTCAGTGATAAATCTAGCTTATTAGTGAACTAAACAGGCCGATTCTTTGATGTAGCTGAGGTTTTTCAAAGTTAAGGTTTGAAGTCATAAACATCCATTTTGTATATATTTTTCTGTGCGAAAGAAATATCAACTTGTCCGCAAAACATATTACAATCACACAAATACCAAGATAGTTTTTGTTTTATTATGCAACAGCAGGTTGTTCTGTAAGATATACCAAATAACTTATATTTGTAAGATTGTGATTGAGGGAGTATTTTTGCGTTTGTAAAACGGTTAAAATTCTGTTGTCACAATCTCAGAAGCATATTCAAACTAATAAGAGCACGATGTTTGTCATGTTAACATTGGGATATGTGTGCGGCTGGTTCAATATTCGATATTCAACCGGGTGTAAGCAAATAGCAAATTTATATATTTTGATAAATTACTCTGTGTTGAATTAGTGGCATTAAGTTTTACATTTTCCATCAAAGATTTTTGATTTACCGTTTTCGGTCAACAGATAAGTTTGATATAATTAGCCTAATTGTATGTCAAGGAAGTGATAACACTTATGTGTTATAGTAATTCTAAATGATGTCAATTTTAAATTAAGACCCAGTTAGCTCGAAAAAAGAACAGATGCTTCCAAGGGAGAATCGAATTATTGCACCACGCGGTTAACTTCTCTAATGTTCTGCAATGTATCTGTAACAAGGAATAAAACAAGTTGATGACCAGTTGTTCAGTGATTTTTATTTTGACTAATTTCTCCGTTCGATATCGATTGTTAACTTGTTTAACTCATTTATTATTTGAACGTCGGTAAACAACTGTCGCCTTATTATGTTAGCTGCAATCAAATATCAAGATTTCCCAGAAAATAAAACTGTTATTCCTCATTTGATATAAATCCTACATTTTTACAAAAACTTGTGTTGTCAAGATACGGCATAAAAGTTGCACGAAGTTAAAACTCTTAGAAAAAATATTTGTCATTGCATTGTCTACTTTGATTAAATAAAACGTAAATTTTATATAAAAAAAACTAACCCGCCGAATTTCCAGGTTGAATTTCTGTCACAGAAAATATTAAAGCATGTAAAATTACCAGCCATTCCTCTTCTGTTCATTTACAAAATATAAACTGGGTTAACTTTATTTTGTTCTTTTGTAATGTTGATCACATTGACATACTTTAATGATGGAAATAAGAGAAAGCAGTATCCTTGCTTAAAGATCTATTTTAAATTAACCGTTTAGAATTAAAACTTAAGCTGTTGTATTTTGATTACGTACGTTGCAAACGTTTGTTGAATTGAGTGTACATGTTTTGAGAATTATAATTATACTATTATATCGTGGGTTTTAAACAACATTAAAATAAGGCTTCTGTTCAAAACTAGGCGCTGTCTATATTCTTTTTGTGACAGAAATGCGTATAATTATAGATTGGTTTGGTGTTATATGCCTAGTAAAAAGTAATATCACAAAAATAAAATATAATGTAATATATATTACAGTTTTATGGGCCATGTACTTTCGACGTTATTCTAGAAATTTTTTAATGAAAACAAGAATTTTCTTTAAATTTATAGAAATAGACAGAATCAAGCAATATTTGGAATCATTCAGATTTTTCAAAAAATGTATTGTTTTTTCTGATAAAAGAAAAATGTGAAACAACTTTCAGTTAGCACGAAAGGCAATTTAAAACTCATATAAAAACGTGTCATGCTTGGTACAAATGTCAGAGTAAAATTTATTTATAATGGAGCATTATAAGC